CTAGTAGTTACCCTTCAAAAAGAGAAATTCTGACCCCCACCCTGAAACTCCTAATGATCTGTACATGTGTTTGACCAAGTCTCCTTTGTTAGGCGTGTTACCGGCCATGCAGGCCTGTGTAAGTCAGAATTTTTACAGTGTCCTCTCAGTGATTCCGTAAACGTCTCTAAACTCTTATTTCTAGTAAGTCGGGACCGTCCCTTTACATTTGCTGTGTATTTGTCCCATGTCTCCAGTTTGACATAGATACATTTAATAGGCACACTAGTACTAAAACTCCCTGATACATACAGGTGCGCCCCCGATGGCGGAAGAACTTACTGCAATGCTCTGTATATGGCTGAATCTGAAATGGTACTATGGAATCAAGTCAAGCAACTGATCTCGCAGGTTACTGCCTTCGTCAAGAAAGATATGTTTTTGTTTGAGCCTGAGCCTGTTAGAGCCTGCAGCTCTAGTGTGTCCCCGTATTAAGGTAAACGTCATAACTCCAGTATTTGTGGATGGATTTTTTATTTATTTTTGGCATGTGAGTAGCTGTTTGTGTATTTATCAATTGTATGTATGCAGCATAACCTGAAAATTTGTAAATGGATCTCGGTGATATTTGATAAGTGAGCTGCGTTTTTTTCGTTGTTAACCGGTATAACCGCTAACCGGTAAACCGTCTTTAGGCGGTTATAGAAACAAAGTTCAAGTTCGAAAATGGTTATCCTGCCATGTTTCCATACGTTGCCGCAGAGAGTTGTGCTTTTTATTGTTTGTGTACAACATAACTCAAGAAAACGCGGATGGTTGTTTATATGATATTTATTGGTTAATTAGGGACAGGGAAGACGCAGGTCAAGTTCGATAATGGGCATACTAGCGGCTGTTTTAGGTATTGCAGTGGAACGTTAAAGTTTTGAGGTAAAATCTTCCACAAGCGTCACGTGAATGATTTTTGACTAGTGGAAAGCAAATTGTGTGATTTTGGGATTCGTAGCAGCTTGTTTGGAACTGTAGTGGACGCGTACGTTTTTCTTAAAAATAGTTTAGCCTGTAATTCTGTTCGTTGAATGAATGCTCTTCATATTTATAGGTATGTACTTTATGTGATGATCAACACATACAGATGTACGTAGTTACAATACATAGGAACAGTCAATCTGGTGTAGTGGCCAGTCCCTACCGCGCAGCATCAGTACAGCATGGACCAGCTGACGTCTAAGCAACCACTCAGTACTATTTAGACCAAGATTCAAATATCTGTTGAAGCATTACGGTCAATGGCCGAAAGCAACCTACAATCCTTCAGCGCTTCCGTGATGATCTAGAAACAGTCCCAAAAAATAAGCATAATCTTAATAGTCCAGGTCAGTCACCTTTATCGGTTATAATCTACTGTCAGCTGTTGTAGGTGTACTGAGGTTATTAACCTCTCACTTCTTTTCACCTGACCTAGAAACGTTCCTGTAGCCTTTCATGTAGATCTTGCCGTAGATAGTCCTTCACCTTTCATGGTTATCGTCCACTCTTTTGCCATGGTGTACACGGGGATTATTGACCTATTTTACTTTTTTTTGCCTCCATGTACAGCGCGTTTTCCTAGTTCTTGCTTGTGAGTCCCTGGTTGGTTTTCACTGAACAAAAAACAAAAACAAAGATCTATATATATAGTGCATGACGAAGAATGTTATTTTTCATAGCACAAGGGTTGGTCGACTAAAAGTAGGACTGACAGGTCACTGACCTTTGAAACTGGACATCAGCTTCATCCGCTAATAATAACAGCTTGCCATATATGGCACCGCTTCGCACGAGGACAATTGGACAGGTGACCTCGCGTTACAGATTTCCCGGAATCGAGGAGGAGGGTCTATATATCTGCCGCGGACATCCTTCCCTCAGAGTCAGAGAGCACCGAACGAACCTCGCGTCTACAAGCAACATGCCGACATCTCACACCGTCTCCACCGTCCAGCAGACGGAACAAGTTCCCAGCATGGCTCTCCAGCGTCCCAGGGACGGAACGTCGGTAAGTCCTGCTTTATGTGGGGTCAATTATATGTTTGTACAGAATATCGTGCCTTTCATGTGCTTCTTGTTGCCATCTGCCTTCTCGCCATTCCACACCAAATTGTAATGCAAATTAAACTGATCAAAACTTGAAGACACAGGCAAATTCAGTTTTGTCATCAAGTTTCTACTAATGCAAAACACCAGTCACCGGCTGTCTGTAGGGCCAATAGGAACCTAGCTACTGGCAGTAAATTTGCTTTGGCTGGAGTTCGACATACACCCAAATCCTGGACAAATCCACAACACCTGCGGCCTGGTGTAAGCTGAGTGAGTTACAAATAAACAAAAGAGTTGTGTGTTGATATGTCATTAAAAACATTATAAAAACTGTGAAGAATAAAGCCCGAGTCGTAAAGCCCAACCGCTATGATGGCTATAAAAAGGACTCCGTAAGACGAAATTTTGATCTCCTTTTTAAGACTGATGCAATCTACTGTTCACACGCGACGATGTCTGAACGATACACCTGTTTGCTTTCGAAATTACATTAATCATATACACTGACGGACAGAAATGCAAGATGTGTTTGTTATGCACAAGGCGTCGATCTGTATCATCTAGATCTTGATTGAAGTATGCGAGACCGACGTGACTTACAACATTAGTGATGACTAACTACGAAGCTGAAAGTCAAGTTCATGAGCGCTGACAGGATATCGTCGACTTTCAACACGGTAAGACCGAGAGCCTGATATATAGAAACAATACAACGGAATGAAATGTGCGGTTGTGTTTGTACAGTTTCACTTCGTCGTGCCTCTGAACGTGGGCGGCCGTCACTTCACCAGCACCCTGCCCGTTCTGCGCAAGTATGAGGAGTCCATGCTGGCGGCGATGTTCAGCGGCCGCCACCTTGTTGTGAAGGACAAAGACGGTCGCTACTTCATCGAACGAGACGGCGCCAACTTCGGCCACATCTTGAACTTCCTTCGCGACGGCAGGCTGCCTCCTGTAGATAAGGTGAGACATTAAGAATCGCCGTGGCAGCTTTTGGGCGGCGTCTTTTGCTTGTAGCCGAGTGTTTGTCAGAGTTTTACAGAATCAAGGCAAGGACCTGCAAACGCCTCTATTCTGATCATACCACGTTTTCTACTTATATCAGTAAATCGATGCAGAGCATTGTTCTGAAACATGTCAAATCGGAAACTACGCGGTTTGAAGAACGTACCGTCCGGAAACACAATAGAAACTTGCTCAGCGTATCGTCCGCCGATAAAGGCCTCAAGGTAAGTCACCTTCTTCTCAATGTTAGCTAACTCATTTGGATGTCATAATTTAGACCGTTAAAGCTCAACAACTTCCATCGTTCCTGTCTAGGCGAAAGATGTCTACCACGAGGCGCTCTACTACGGGATCACCCCGCTCGCCGACATCCTCCGCCGGCACAGGACCATCCATGAGGAGGAGGAGGTGGCCAGGTGGGTCGAGCAGTGCCCCACCGCCCAGGAGAAGGCGGACGAGATCGCCAACCTTCTCCAGAAGAAGTTTGCGGACACCCTGAGCAGGAAGAGCCGCGTGGTCCTCCAGTTCGACCAGGATTCTCACTGGGAGGCCGTGCGCCACAAGGTATCACGGGCGAGGGTTCGGAGTCATCTTTTGTAGTTTAGAAAAGTTAAAACACGTGTTAAAATGTGATAGCAAGGTATCACGGGCGAGGGCTCTAGCTATTATACTTATTTATCTCCGAGTCGTTTTTTGTAGTTTAGAAAAGTATTTCAGTCAGAACACGTGTTAAGTACCATTAAGATGTGATAGCAACTGGCAATATCTCTAGTAGCAGTATTTATCATCTTACCAGTAAAATGAGGTAATGGTATGTGACGAATTATTGAGTTTAAGTAGGACAAACAAACCACTAGCACATGCTTTCAAAGTGGCTTTTTATTAAATTAGTATTACTTCTTTTGGCAACTTTCACAAATACTTACTAAATGTATGTGCTCAATGATCAGGTATCGGGGGAGTCCATCGGTAACTACTACCAGCCTTACGACTTCGACCAAGACGAGAGTCACAAGGACCACAAGTGTCCCCTGCCAGAGATAGCCATGGGAGAGATGTCTGAGCACGAGAAGGAGAAGACGCTGTGTTTCTTCGATCACTTCTTCGAGAAGCTGGGCTATAAGATGGAAGTCGTCCCCGGGGTGTGTCGGGAGGCGGTGTGGTCCCAACAAGTCTCCTGGCCCGGAGAGGAGGTGGACTCCATAACGGTTTACTGTAACAAGCAGATCTACACACTCACCTTTACTTGAGCCAGTTAGAAGAATTTACAGTAAGGTTGTGCTTTCCGAACTACGAAGACTAAACCAGAAACATTTTTACACGTAATTATGTTTGTGTCGATCAAGCGTCTTTGTTCAAATTAAAAAAAAAATTATTAGGATGGAATTTTGATATAACCATTTTACTCTTTTGATATATAATTCAAGGCGAGTAACAATCTCAATAAGGTACGTCGATGAAGGTTAGACATCCAGGTAATACGATATGCCAAAAAACAGTTACTCAAGCAACTGGATATGATATAATCATATCCAGTTGCTTGAGTAACTGTTTTTTGGCAAATCTCAATAAGGATGTAATCAATTTGTATCGTCATGGCACCTATTATACATGAACAGGGACCGTAAAAGTCACGGAGATGTAATTTTATGATGTATATATTCGCATTGCGGTTTTCTTCATAATGAAGAAACACAGTTTTTATGGTATGGTACAGGTGTACTGGGTGGAAAATGAAAGTGAAAAGGAACATGGTTTGATAAGTTTTTAGCTGGGTAATACAGATTGATTAAAGTGTTGATGGATAATGATCGTCTGTGCTGACTTTTTCATTCATACAAGGAAACAGTCATTTCTAGATAGCACTCACATGCATATTAACCCTGCATGGTCACATTCGTCGTAGGCTGTCGTACAGCTTTGATATTGTTGTGACAAGAAAGACGTTTCACATACTGTATATATTCATCAATGTTCAATAACAGATAGTTCTGTATGTAACTCGCGAGTTTGGCAGATGTGTTTTGAAATAGTACAATCCCATATAGGACTAATAATACTTAGGGTTACCCTTCAAGAAAATTCTGACCCCATCCTGAAACTCCTCTGATCTGCGTTTGACCAAGTCTCCATGGTTTGACGTGTTACAGTGTAGGCTTGTATATGTCAGCATTTTTACCATCTCCTGTCAGTGATTCCATAAATGTCTCTAAACTCTTATTTCTAGTAACGCGGTCCGGCCTTTTACATTTGCTGTGTATTTGTCACATGTCTCCAGTTTGACATAGATACATTTAGACACAAAAAATTCCTTATCTATACAGATGCACCCCCCGATGATGGACGAACGTACTGCAATGCTCTGCACGCTCTGGCTCAGTCTGAACCGTTATGATGGAATCAAGTCAAGAAACCAATCTCGAAAGTTATTTGGACGAAAGTTGGTTCAGAAAATGTTTTCGCTTTTTGGCGCGTCAACGATTGACTGATGTATCTATATTTGAAACGTGCATCGGGAACGATCAAGAGAATGTTGCGCTGCGACTTGGCTGCACTAAAAGACCACAATTTGTTAGAACCGTCCTTTCCCGAGGTAAACGGATGGATTTTTTTCTGGTGAATTTGTCAACATTTTCGCACTGTGGCGCTTTTGTTCTTTGAAGTTCTCCCAGCACACCATACAATGTTGGTTCTTGGACTAGTGCTCCCCAGGCCTTCAGTGTAGTTGTCCTGTCCCAACCCATGGAACCTGTGGATCACTTTTGGCTGCATCCCAAGAACCAACAAACCAATTAAATCGTAACGCCAGGCACGTTGGAAGAATAATGAGGAGTGGGGATTCACCTGAATTGAACTTCTTGTCTCATACGTAATAGAAGAACATTTTTGCCTTAAGCCACTTGTCTGTATCCTGACACACCAGGTCCCACGCGTCCATGTAACATGACGGCTCATCACATAAAGGAAATTGTCTTCAAACTTTGATTAGCCACAAGAAGACGAACGGAAAGCTTCGGGAGACTATAAAGAAGATAAAAGAAATTTCCAGTGCTTCAAGGTGTAGGCAATAAGCAACTGTCACATCATTGAAACGCAGTAGCTCCCAGGTTAATACTCATCCACACCTCCGTCAGCCCAGGGTAAGAGTCTTCAGCTCGTCGACTTTTCCCCCATTACCTTTCCTTTGTAAGCGTTAATTGACCTAACAACGGGTCTTCCTCAGGCGGTTTTGTAGTCCTCTCAGTTGCGTGGTGTTCTCATTGTTCTTCTCCCTGATTACCGATGATTGATCTGGCTTACAGGGCCGATGGACTTATCGCTATCTTCTTACATCTCTCCCCGGCTCATTGCGCTGGTAGATTACCGGAAAGTCTTGCGAAACGCTTTGCATCCTTCATACTTGCGTCAGATGTGCCCCATTGTCATACAAGTTTTCATCTCGGGCCTTCAATCTGATTTGGTTGCAATCGATGTCAGTTGAAGTCCAAGTTTACCAACCCATCCTATTTTGGTTGCTGAAAACCTGACGTCGTTCTTACGTACAATATTATTTGTGGATTTGGACCTTATTATGTGTACATGTTATTTCGACAAAACAAACGGTCTTTAACTCTTTATGGAGCATTATGGACGGAACGGTGATAACTTTTAATGTCTGTCCGCTGGACCTGAACAGATAGCCATCTACATCAGCTGTTTTACTTCGGTTCTAAAGGATCGACGCGTGTATATATTTTACTGATTCGCTGAATAATGATGGCACTCCTGAGTCGTTGACCTCAAATTGAAGCCTGGAACAGAGGACATTTCGCCCCCAAACAATATCCATATTCACATCTAAAAGCAGGCATTACTACCTCTGTAACGGCTCTATCACAGAAGCTTTACGACTCTTCCCGACAAAGTAATGAAGATGCATGAGTGAGTTGATGTTATGGACGCTCCGTTACACGTGCACTTTAGAGTGTTGTCGGTCGTAAACAGGACTCTGAAAGCTTCAGTTCCAGAGATTTGTTGTGACGATGTGGAGGCCTTCCTCATAAAAGGAACCAAGCTTTCGATGATACCCAGCGCTCTCGTGTTAGGTTATTTCGGGTGGCAGGAATCAGAAAATAATACAGACGGAGTGAACTCCATCAGGAATATACTCTGAGCATAATGAAGCCACACCCATCAGCCTTGTAATTGAAAAGAAAAGTGACATCGAGACAACATGTATGTCGTGAGTTGAGGATTCTGTCCACGTACAGTCAAAGTTACCTGGTGATGAAGCTGAAAATCACGATCAGCAGCTTAAGATGTTGTCAGTTGTGATGGGTGGCTTGCTTTTTTTCAATAACATTTCAAGTTAGCTGTCCCTGCCAACTTTTGAAAACACCATTTCCTTGCCCAGGGGAAAATACCGATAAATCTGGGAAACATGCCGCGCGACATTTTCGATCTTTATTCAAACATGAAAAATCATCGACCACGCGAACGATTAACCCTGGTCAGCTGAACGTTATCGAGACGTGACAGTCAAGAGTGATGTATGGGTACGACCATAGCAGAAAGATACGTGTTGGCAATGGGAAAAAGCGAGGCCATTATAACGTTGTATTGGCACCATGTTGCGCCTTTCAATCTAACAGCAGATGTAGGGTATGGATCAGTGTTTTATGCGTGTTTTGGAGGCAGTTTTGTAAAAAAAATCTCTAGTTGTTGACGGTGAGGAAAAAACGAAGAACACAGGAAAGACGTATATGAAAAAAAGTCTCAAAAACAATAAAACACTGCCCTGGACCCTACATCTACTTCCTATCTTCCAGCTGGAGTTTGGCATCCGGGCACGATAAGGAGTCGATTTAGCTAACGTTACGACTTGTCGTTCTCCCACATTATCGAAACTACTGTTAAAGCCAAGTGATGCGGTTTGTGCTCAATCCAAGCATAATCCAGCCATAAACCTTTATGGTGGTAATAACTGCTCAGTGCAGGTAAAATGGGCTTTAGGTAGTGTGCCTTAATTTAGTAATTGAACGGTCTGGTATTAAAGAGATGGAAAATCAATTTCTTAGGTATTGTTTTTTTCTTGTACTATGCACAGTCCGATCATGACCATGGCGCCGAGTATGTTCGTGTCATTACTGAATCTCCTTCATCACCATTATCATCATTTTCGACGCATGTCTGCATGTACTGAGGCGGACCGTTAAAGCTTTCTTTTGTCTCAAATTGCCAGTCGCAGTGCCCCCTCTATCCACAACCAATGTTTGAAAGGGTAACCAATCTGTAACCTCTGCAAGGTCCCGCTCCACTGCCCCTTTCAAAGCTACCACATGGTGGCCTGTCTTTCTCTATCCAGCTGGATACCAGTATTTCAGGGCCTCCCTGAATAGCAGCCTTGGCATTCTCGCGACGTGCCCCAGCCCGCAGCTTCGGCTCCAGGAGTGTGGAAAGTCTCGGCTGACCAGTCCGCTGTCTGACGTCTGCATTATATTGCTGACATGTCGTTACCACCTGTTGTTACACCTCCTTATAACATAGTAGGATATGGTGACATGGAGACGAGAAGACTGAAGTTTCTTCTATATATAAAAGACTGGCTGTCTTTGAACTTGGAGTGTTCGTCTATTTTCCCAAGGACGTCACATCACTTGTTGAAGCTCCTTGATTTTACGAAAGAAACTAAAACAGCTGATTCCTTTGACAGAGAAAGTAGCTTTGCATGTGGCCATGTCTCGGCAAAGCTCTATCTCTCTCCCATTCCTTTGTCTTTGTCACATGTACTTGTAGAAAGTTTCATCAGGTTGGTAAATCAATATATACTGGGTTTTAGCTACGTCACAATGCGTCAAGGAGCAGTAGAGTTCATGAAGCCCCGGGAAGGGTTGCCGAAATGTTACCGAGACGTCGTCAGATAAAATCCCTGTGGAACCCGGCATATTTTGAAATATGATGTTTACAGACGCAGAATATAGAGGTATGTTGTTATCATGAAAATGTCACCAAAGAGAACTAGATGTGAAGCGTTCCTTTTGGTGCTACATTGTAATGAAGGCATCATCATACAGAGCCCTGTATTTCTATACTGTAAAGTTTCCCCATATCTATCATTTAAAGCGCTCATGCAACATTAACCGATCGCGGATTGACCAGATCTCATGCTGAAAGCCCATCGCTGTGAACTAACCCGTTTGATGCAGTGTAGGCCTAATGAAGATTAGTATGTACAATTCTCTGCCTTCAATCACGAAACGAAAACTCATGGGCTTTTATTCAAATCTGGAAGGATCTTTCGATAGATTATCGGAAAATCGTGGAATTACAATCCATTGCTACGCAGTCGATCCACTCAAGGTCAGACTTAATGAAATTTGCAACAAATCAATATGATTCATTTCATAAAGTCAGACCAACTGTGCGTGATGCCGAAGGAAATTATTGAGTATCAGATATGATGTTCATATGTATTTTGGAGCGAACAGGTGGCACAGAAATTTGATAAACTTTGGCTTCTCTTGTGTATCAGTCAACTGAGATTCATCATACCTGTGGCAGCGAAACGCACATGATTTATTAAATAATGTTACGAAGTTTTACGCCATGCAGGCTAGCTTGCACAGGTATCGGTAGAGTTGGTCTTTGACTGTTATACTTTGTGAATAGCAGCTGGCTAAGACTTTTCTTAAAAAACGCACGAAGACAGGGTATTTCAAAAGGATCTTTCAACTGTAAGGCCATGTTGATTTGATTATATGGATGACATCCTCTGGGAACCCCAAAACTGATGCGAGCGTGCGAATAAAAAAAAGTTTAGC